CTAATCAGGAAGCAACACAGAAGCTCCTGGTCTCCCAAAGGCTTACTTTGGGCACAGCCAGGGCCCCTAGGCCACGACCACCCAGAGTTGACCCTCTTCCCCCTAAACAGCCTGGACACAGCTCTCAGGTTACCTGATTGTCAAACAACTTGTTACATAAGGGTTTCTCCCTTGGCCCCTTCAACCTGAGCAGGGGGTGAGCTTCCCAAGGCAGCGGACCAGGGGAGGCGGTGCTCTGGGGGTCCTCCCAACGAGGCTGCAAACTTTGTGAGCAACTCTCAGCCCCACAGCTGCTCAACTGGGGAATTTGGGACAAATCTCTTAGATTCCCATTTGGTGTGTGTGTTGGGGGTTTAGGGGGTGGGTGGCGGGGAGGAGGTGGTGGTCAGTCCCCGAGGTAAATGCTTCTATAAAGATTGCCCTGGCCCGAGCCAGTTTGGCTCAGTGGATGGAGGGTCATCCTGCAGATTGAAGTGTCCCGGGTTCGATTCTGGTCAAGGGCACGTACCTCTGGTTGCAAGCTCCTCCCTGGTCCAGACCCTGGTTGGGTTCAGAGGCAGGGGGCAACCAATCGATGTGTTTCTCACATCAATATTTCTCTCTGTCTCTCCCTCTCTCTTCCACTCTCTTTAAATATCAATAGAAAAATATCCCTGGGTGAGGATAAAAAAATTAAAAAGAAAAAAAAAGATTGCCCTGGGGTGGGTTTCCTTACTTTATCGGGGGAAAAAACACGGGTCATGAAGCACACCCGGGTAAAGATCACCCATATCTCTACCCACGTGGGACAATCTGTGTTGTCCTCTAGCAGGGGCTATTTCTAATCACCACAACACACACACACACACACACACACACACACACACACACGCATGGGCCTTTGCAATCTGGGAACACTGCCTGGCTGCTAGCCTCTAAAGACTGTAGGGTGCTGTATCAGTAAAGTACAGAGCCCCAGGGTGAATTATTCTTCTGGTCCCACTGTTCTGTCACACCAGGGACACCAACCCGTTCTGCAGGGGCAGCCACCTCCAGACCTCGCCCCGTTCCCGCCTGGCTCAGAGTCATCTGCAGAAGGTATGGGTGAGGCTGGAGTCTGAAGCCAGACCTCAGCTTGGCTCACATGCATAAGCCCCCTGCCTCACGTGAAAGAGATGCAGTGTTTCTTGTGTCAGTGGGAGGCGGCTGGGAACACAGCTTTCCCTTGGGGAACTCCGTCAGGTTTCTCGTGTGGAAATGGATTATCTGGAGAGTAAAATCCTAGGAACTGGCCTTAACTCCTAAGCAGCTGGTCTAGTCTCAGGGGAAAAGACACCCCAGGGGCTCCAAATGAGCCCCCCAACCCATCTATGTCCATGAATTTATTCAACAGATATATAGCGAGCATGCACTCAAGCAGCACTGGACAAGTGTGAGCCCATGAGCTACTGTGCCCTTCACTTGGCTTTGCCCACTAATCATGGCATGAATTGGCACAGGCTTTGTGGTGGAGAACACTGCACAGGCAGACCAGGAGTTGGGGGCCCACTGGGTGACCCTGGGGGGCCCTTTCTGGAGAAAGAGAGGCAGTGGGTGGCTCATGTACCATCCACTCCAAACCAAAATTCAGTGGATCTAGAATTCTGTGACATATTTCTGGAACCTCAGTTATTTTCATATTAACATCCCATTTTCTGCCATGTCAGCACACCATCTGTACTATTATTAGCAATTTCCCTCCAGTGTCTTTTACTTTAAACACACTCACTCAACAAGAAAATGTTACATCATGGCCATACGTGGAAGACCTGGATGACTTGCCACAAATAAAGGTGAGCATGGAAGGTGTGTCACTGCATTTTAAAAAAGTAAAATGTTGGCAAACTTAAAAAGTGAATAATAAGTAATAACACCGCTAATTGATTTACAAAAGTGCAGACCCGAATAAGTTACCCAATGGGAAAAGTGGACGGTGGGTGGTCAGTAACATCAGGGCAGGGACACCTTGTCCACCACCATGACCACAAGTTAGGGGACCAGGCACCAGCTTGATCAAGGGTCACTCTTACTGCAGCCAATTCATTGAGCCCCAGGGAACCAGATAAGGATTTTTAACCCATGCCCAGTGTGGGAAGAAAGGATAGCTTCGTACTTAAGGACTCAGGCTCTGGAGCCAGACTGCCCAGGTTCATATCCCAGCTCTGTCTCCCGGGCCCCAGCTTCACAGGTGTGACACCCAGCAGTCACACAGGGACCCTCTCACTCAGAAGGGCTCTTCCGTTGCTTGTCACCATCTTAACATTTTTTGCAATAAGTGTGTTCTTTTGTGGTTTTACTTTTGCATAACAAATTATGTAGCTGGTCTTATCTGTCACTTACTAGTTGAATTTTCTTGGGCCTCGGGTCACTGTGAAGATTCTTTGAATTAATATGAAAATGTATTATGAAGACACAATCTCAGTTACTATATTATTACAGCATTTAAAGGAATAATCACCAGATTACCGAAGGCTGCCGTCACCTCCACCTTATGAGGAGCCACCGACTGGCCATCTATCATTCCATCCACCTAGTCCCACTGCCAATCACTTGCTGGGGGAACCATGAAAGTGAATCTGACCTTGGTCCTGACCCTGAGATGCCCATGGTCGAACAGCCAAGCCTCTGGTCACTGGCTAACATACCTTCCTTCCCATTCCTGGTGCCAGTGTACAGGTGAGCACAGGTGAGCCAGCAGCCACAAGGACTGAATTGCTACAGCCACCAGGATCTGAAAACAGACTCCTGTTCCTGCGGGTACCAGCTGTGCCAGCTGTGTGACCTTGGGGAGGGCATTCCTCCCACTGAGCCCCATTTCATGAAGATAACCACCCTCCATGCCCTAGGAAGTTTGGCTCCGTGGATAGAGCATGGGCCCATAGACTGAAGGGTCCCAGGTTTGATTCCCATCAAGGGCACGTACCTCTGTTGCAGGCTTGATCCTCCGCCCTAGTCAGGGCACATGTGGGAGGCAACCAATCGATGTGTCACTTTCACATCAATGTTTCTCTCTCTCCCCCTCTCGCTTCCATTCTCTCAAAAAAAAATCAATTGAAAAATATCCTCAGGTGAGGACTAAAAAAATAACCACCTCCCAGCTCCTGGGTGGTCAGAAGACGGAGAGGACACGTGGGCTGTGGACAGGTTGGATCTGTCACCGGGGGCTGTGTGGATGGCTACCACCAAATTGAGGGTCCTCGAAGGGCATCCCCTCTCCATGCCTCTACTCAAAGCCTTGGGCCTCTCCCGGCTCTCAGAATGAGGGGCAATGTATGTCTGAAAGAAATGGTTTCATACCCTAGAGCTTGGGGAGCGTGGAAAGCAGCTGTAGGCAGGTGCAGAGGGACAGGTGGTAGAGTGTGGTCAAGAGGACAGTGCCCTTCCCACACGGAGGGGGTCCATCTGTGGATGGCCAGGCAATGCAGTAGAAAGAACCCCATCTTAGGGGAAGGAGGCCTCAGTTCAGCTCCAGTAGTTGAGACAATGACTCTGGGTGACTGGGAGCCAGTTTCTTGCCCTCTCTGGGCCTCCCTGTGTCCACATGTAGAGGTGGTCAAGTGGCCACCTTGCTGCTCTTCTAGCTTGAGTTCGGTAGGAGACACTGCCAATGCTTGGCTCATGTCCCCTCTGTGCTCACTGCCCATTCCCCCCTCCACACACACACACACCCTGCTGGCTTCTCTCTATGGGAACCTGTGACTCTGCCCGAGGGCTTTCTCCATGGAGCAGAGCAGAGAAGCCCCTGATGAGTGATAGTGTGACTGTGCCAACCATCCACCAGGAGGATGGGGTAGACTCCAACCCAAGACACAGACACTGACTTGGTCACCGAAAGAACATTATTTCGAAAATTAAGGCTACAGGTGTAGATGCTCCCCCTTCCGTGGTCTCTGTCCACTCCCACCAGACACTAAGGTACCTTTTTGGCCATAAACACCTTCTGTAGAATTACCTCTAAGCTCCCCCAGATCGTGGAGGCTGGATGGGCCTCCCCTTCACAGCTCAATATGCTCTGTTTGGGGTGACATCCTGGCTGTGTCCTGGGCAAGGAGCTCGGTGAAGAACGCCACTTCCTCATGTTTCAGCTTCTGGGCTGCCTGGGTGGGGACCCCAATCTGCAGGTACCCTTCCTTCTGGTCATACACGGGCCAATGGGGCAGCCCCTCCCCGTTGGGGTT